CCCTCTCTCTCTCTCTCTCTCTCTCTATATATATATATATATATATATATAATGTTTCATTAAAGACAACTAACATGGTACTGCAGTTAAGCTTTTTATTTAATTTTTTTCTTGTGTTCATATAAGTTTTTACTATTCCAGACAAAAAAACGCATAAAAATTGCCTGAGTGTTTTATATATCTGAACACATTTTACACACTTTATATCCAGAATAAACATCCAGAAAAATTAAATAAAAAGCTTAACCGCAGTACCTTTCATGAAACTTGTATAAAAGAGGGATTGCTGCCTAAATACACAATTTTATATATATATATATATATATATTAAGACATTTTTATGTTTATACATTCTTTTTATAAATACAATATTTATATATATATATATATATATATATATATATATATATAGTCAAGTTTTGTTAAATTCAACCAACAATGTCTGTTTAATTTTTGTTATTTTTCCAATTTTCAAATAAGATGTTGTACATTCTACTGCCATTTTTACAAAATAAAGGCAAAATGTTGTTCCAAAATTAAACATTGCTTGGATTATTTGACATATTTTCAAAATGGTTAAAAATTTAATCTGACTTGTCCTTCATTAAACATGTATGGAACACGGTGGAACAATATTTGATTCATTCAGTTAGTCTACAGCTCTTGCTATAGTTGTTAGTAGGTGTCAAACCTATAGAATAATCTACTGTAGAATAGTATTCACTCTCATTATGATCTTTTGTATGCAAGAATACAGGATGATATAAGTATATAAATTTTATGTAAATTATGTATTGGCAAAAGTTTCCAGTATTTTAAAAAAAAAAAAAAAAGAAAAAAAAAAGAAGATAAATCCTATTTCCTATTGAATGTTAAATTTCTAGTTTTCAAACAAAACAATGCTGGGCACTTTTGCACATATCTAATAAATACTAGTTTAATTTACATTTTGCATTATTTTTTATATCTATAGTTTTTCTTCAATCAAATTTTAGATTGGTTTTTAAAAGAATTTGTTTCCAAAGTGGATCTGTGATTGAAAAAATGTTTTTTATACTTAATTATCAATGACAGTACATGTCTAGAAAATGAGAAGAGGAAAAAAGAAAAAATGTAAAAAGGTTAAGGAGTGTAAAGTGAAAAATGCCAGAATGACAATCGTGACATTCTAAACGTATGTACAGATGCACAGACAGTCACATGGGTAAACACATACACACACACAATGTAAAAGAAAACTTGCACCAATGGAAAGTGCATATAAAAAAGAAAAAGCAAGAAGTATAAGCAGTCAATTGCTGACACACCCTAATGTGAGTGATTCTTGAAGGGTACATGTACAAAACTCTGGAGCCATGATACTGAAGGTAACATCAATCAGCTGAGTCACAAACCTTTTACTTGTATTAATTCTACTTATATATATATATATAGAGAGAGAGAGAGAGCCATTAAAGAAGATAATCTTATGTGTGTGTCAAGGTAAATCGTTGACAATTTGTTGGGTGTATTCCATCTATTTATGATTCAATTTGAAAAACAACACATGAACAGAAATCCTGCTTATTACTCAAGTGAGTGATTTTTTGCAAATAATTTGCAGCTAAGTTTCAAGGGTAATAAATGTAATAGCATTTTAAGATTTTCAATTCTTCTGTTATGAAAATAACATCTCTTCTGCTTGGACAATTATGTTGAGAGTCTTTACCTCATTCAAAAACATCATGATGAACTTTTGATACTGCTGACAAGTCATTGATGTTTCCCAGACCATTCTTGGAATTAAGGAAGTCAATCGAGTCTTCAATGAATGTAAATCTGATAGCATTTTTCATCCATAAGTAATGATTTGAATAAAGGACTTCAGAGTGAACAGTCAGTATTGTTCATAAACCACTGAAAGTGCCCCTGGAATTTTTTCAGTGAAGGACTTTAATTCAATTTTGCATGAGGAAAGTTTTTATTTAGGAAATCTGCTTTCGCTTTTGATGTAAAGAATTGATTTTTTTTTTTTCTTCTTTTGCTGTTCTTCTTGAGCAATATTTTTTTTCGATTCTATTTATAAAATGTACGTTTACTTTGGAGTTAGAAGAGGGAAGTCACTGCACGTATCACACCCCTGCCTTAAACATTTACACCAAGAGAAAAATGAAGCTACAAGAAGAAAAGGCAAAGAAAGTAAAATCAGATTGCTTTTAGCACGATGATGGAATATACAGCAGTTGCTTGACTTGTCTATCAAAAGGAGAGGTTAGGTTTCAAGTTCAAGGCAAAGGTAACTCGGTGGAGTGGCAGATTAGAAACTCTTATTGACTTTTGTGGCTGTGTTTCTATTCATTTTGGATACACAAATTTTAAGTCATCTTGATTTATTTGTTTCAAGAGAGACACCAAGAAAGTGCATCAGGAGAAAATATGTAAGTTGTTCACCAACGATGGTACTGAAAAAAGTTGGAAATTGGCCAAGTGACATCACATGAAAATTTGCTTTCATCTTTTCTGCTCTTAAAAGTAGAAATAAAATAACAACAAATATAGATAATCATTTTCCCAAATTGATTAAAGAAAGAACAACATCACATATGTGAAACTATGTGCCTTGATGTGTGCATATGGGGTCTGTTCAGAAATGATTCGTTCACTTAATACTAATAAAAAAATCCTACCTAGGCAATAGCACCTAAGTTCACTTTAAGAGTACTCTTCTTAATACTTTATACATTTAACCTAAACCTTTTCAAAACAATCTGCAAAGTCTTCTTTTGGGATCACTATCACCTGCCTCGTCACAGTTTCCTTAATCTCGCTCACACTCTCCTCTTTTCACTGGTGATAGCCAGAAGACACAAAAGGGGCAAATCTCAACTGTTGACAAGAGGAAAGCTCTGCCTTATGGGAAGTTTTACTAAAAAAACCTGCATGAGACTTTGCTTAGCTACTTAATAATCCATTGTGAATGCAGCAATCAGAACACAAGCTCATTCAATGGCATCTTGCTGCTGATTGAGTAACCCCATAGAAGAGTGTCTCTTCACTTCAAGTATGCACAGTAAGGTTTCTTCTGATTGGTTACCCAGTAACATAAAACCTATGCAACTGATTCTGAAGATATTTATAAGGGATGGAAACTTTCCAGACAGATAGACATCCCAAGTGTGTGTGTGTATATATATATGATGCGATGGATAAATTGTCGACTAAATTACACAAAAATATAATGAAATACTAAAGAGTAAATTTATTCAATGAAATCATCGTTGACTTCAACAACGGCCTCCAGATGACTTCAGAATCTCTTGCAACTCTTCTGGACGGTCTCCTTGTTTAAGTTGATGAATGATTCCATAATCCTTGCCTTCAGTTTATCTTTGGTGTTTCAAGGAGTTTTCTTGGTATCTCACTCAACTATACCCCACACATATAATCAAGGGGGTTGCAGTCTCAGGAGTTAAGTGGCCAGATGTAAGGGGTGATGTGCTTGCAAAAATTGTCTGAGAGCCATGACTGGGTTCTCCTGCTTGTGTGGCATGGTGAAGAGTCCTGTTGCTAGACATAGGGTATTCCAACAGCCACCCTCTTGACCCAGGGCAGCACTACCTCTTCAAGGTACTTGTAGTGCTCTATGTTGAGTTTAAGGCCCTCACCTCTGAGCTGCTACACCTTTGTAATCACTATTAAACTCATCTAACTCTTTTTGAATCCACTGCACTGTCGCCAGATTGACACCCAAACACTTTGAAATTTTTGTATTGGAACTTCCAGTGTGAATGCCAAGCAGTACAGTATGCTATTTATAAATTTCTGGTGGAGTGATTTGCGTCATGGGGCTCTTTTTCTCACAGATGGTGCCCAACTGAACCTACTATACTCTGCAGTTGACAAAATCAACAAAACAACACACATGTGTGAAATTAAAAATATAATATGGCAACAATTTACCCATCACACCCTGTGTGTGTGTGTGTATATATATATATGTATATATATATATATATATATATGGTATATTTTTTTTTTTTTTTTTTTTTTTTTGTCCGACTACTCACTTATCAAAATGACTGATCCATTTAAGCCAACACAAAAACTTACTAAATTTAATATGTAGCATACTGACTGAAAAAAATTGAGTTTAATTGTAAAAAGTCTCAATAAATAAGAATAATTTTTTTTAAAAAATATAAGGATAAATAAAATAAGAAAATAAATGTAACAAAAAAACTAGAAATCATCCCTTAATAACATCAATTCTGAACATGGCCATAATGTACTGACTGTATTCAAGAATGAAAAATGTCTCTTTTTTGGTTACTTATGCGCTACAGTATTTACATTAGTCGGACTATTGTCCTCATCTTTGTCGCCATATTTGTCACAACGTTTCGGCTGTTGTACGCTCCGGCCTTCTTCAGGTGGTTGGAATTTCGAACTGAACCCTTTATTTCGATCACTGGGGTAGACTGTTCTAGTTCCACATGCCATGTTTGATGGATGTCAGTTATCTCCTGCTAATTTTCCCTCTGAAAGTTCTCCACTGCCTTAACCAGGAATTGAACTCACCTTCTTTGGGTCTGTCACTGGATCTAACCAACGCCTTTATCCACTGTGCCATGTGTCCTTGAGGACTTATGCGCTATTTACAATCTCACATCCAAAATCCTTGAAAATCGTAAATTGATTAACCAAACGTGCTCAAAATGAACTATTATTTGGATTATTAATTCTGATTGATTCATTTTCTATGACTTATCAACCACTTTAAAGCCAGAAAACATTTTTAGATTCTAAGAATTTTTTTTGTTTTGTTTTTTGGAGATAATAATGATTTAGTCTTACAAGTCTTACTAATTAACCCATAGCTGAGGCAGAAGAAAGGGTAGATTCATACTTTTCTCAAGGGTATTTGCACATAGGTGAATATAATAAACAGAATTGGAATTGGAACTCAGCTCTCAGATTAATAATTCTGAGTCATTATCCATTACATCATCCGCACATCCAAGCTTACAGCACCTAGAATTCCCAAGTGGTCACCCATCTTGGTACTGTCCAGGCTCAATGTTGCTTAACTTGTGGTCGCACTGTAACCAGTGTTTGAATGTGATGTCGCTGTAAGCCTTGGAGTATTTCTACATAGACTAAGTTCAAAATGTAATCTTTTGTTCACATATGAGAAAAATAGAATAAAACTTTAACAGAATCATCTTATCAGTTATTTTTAATGAAACGTGTTTGGAATTGATGGCTAAATGCATAATGAGAGGGAATCAAAGAAATTGATTCATCGATTGGTGTAGATTCACTGTTTTTAAGAGCATCATTGTGTATCCAATTTCAATTTTTTTCTTCATTTAAACTCCATCTTAGAAATCTCAGTGTTCTGGGGTCAGCAATGGAAAATGGCTGATTTTCATATAGCAATACGCAAGGACTTTTTCTCTTCTTGACCTCTAATTGCCTAATTTCTAATGAGACAAGAAAATTATTGGCAAAATTTCTTTATTTCATCATGTCTCTATTTTCTTTTTACAATATTTTTGAATAAAATGAAAAAAAATATTTTCTTCTGTTCTTTACTTGCCAACTGATGTATATCTTGATATATAATTGAGAAGAATTTGTTTATGTCTTGGTTGAATATATTTTCATGTGGTGCTTTGAAATTGGAATGCATAATTATTGGACTCAAGGGAAATAGTTTAATATAAAAAGATTGTTTTATAATCAAGAAAAGGAAGTTCTACCTTTTTTCTCTTATATAAAAATATCTTTTATAGTCACAATTACCATTTGTAACCATTCAGTTTGAGACTATAATTTAACTTTGTTATTAATTTTTGGATAAGAAAAATATTTGTGTATTTTGAAAAAGTAATTTCACAGAACAATGTCATTTAAAATATAGTTTCTACTTTAAATTATTTTTCTAGTAAACTTATCAGAAACAAATTTCATGTGTTTTGTTTTTATTTACAATACAAATTATTGTAATAATTTCTAACAGTAACTGTAAACCCCAAAAAAGAAAGAAAAAAGAAAAACTAGTGTGAGGGAAAATAAATGGGAATAATAACAATAATATAATTTTTCATTGACAAAAAAGATTGTAAAATAAACGTTTTTTTCAGTCATATTTAATCATTTATTTCTCTTTGGTGTGTGTTGCATGAAGCAAATTTGATTCTGCTTTGTTTTTAATTACTATCAATATGAAGGAATTGTTTGACTGTCATTTTAACCAGTCTTCTACTCTTACTTGGCATAAATACGGACTTCAGCTCATAGTATAACATTCAGCAGTTTTATTGAAAAAAAGATTGTAAAATAAACATTTATGATATCTGTTTATATTTCTGAGATGAAGTATTGTAACTATTTACATCATTCAGATTATTATTTTCCTCATCTTTATTACCATATTCACAATGTTTTGACTGTTGTACACTCCAACTGTCTTCAGGTGATATACATTGAAATTTTGAACCAAACCCTTTAGGGTAGATTGTTCTAATTCCACATGCCATGCCTTTTTTTTTTTTTTTTTTGGGATATCTCAGTTTCAGTTAATTCCCTTTAGTACACCAACTCTCCAAGTTTTTTTTCACCTATACTGTGGCCTGGTATTGAACTCAAAACTCTTTGGATCAAGTCACTTTTTGGATTATTCAACCAATGCTTTTATCCACTTGGCCATGTGGATAAAAGAGTTGTGAATTCACTACGTGGCTACAGCAGAGATGAACAAAAACGCAGAATTTAGTTACTAAAGGGAATTAACTGAAACGGTATTATAATATATATATATATATATATAATATTAACCTCTTAATATGTTTAAATTGTCAGCTGTATACAAATACTTTCCAAAATCAATAGTTAAAAATAACTATGACTGAATGAAGCATGGAGGTCTTAGTAAGGACTATTCTTTGGTGAACATTATGGGCTGGCGCAACAGAATTACAAACAAAGAACTGTACCAAATAAACAGAAACCACATCACTTGACGACTTTCAACAGTAACAACAGCTAAAATGGGTATCGCATGTATCATGAAGAGAAAATAATGACATGATCATGATGTTGACATTCCACACTACTTCAAATAAAATGGTATAAAAGGAAACCTCTATCAATATTTGGAAGAACAATAACAGCTACTTGACTTGAAAAACCTAAGAGAAAGATTTGATAAATTTTAACCAACAGTAGTACAAGCTACTCGGTCAGTGAATGCCAAATGTTTCCTTATAACAAAACAACTAATAATAACATTACCATTATCTACAGCAAGATTTTATTTTAGAAAGCCATCTTATATCAAGATGTAAACAATTATGGTTCTCCACAGATTCCTTTTTCTTTATTATCTGTGAATTATGAAGCATTCTTTGGAAAAATAGCAGATTAGTTGCTTTACCATGGCTTGAAATTTTCCTTCTCTTGGACTAGCTCAAGTGTAGAGAGCCTAGTATACCCTACTATTTAACCCATAGCTGGATAAAAAGAAAACTATTCATTTGTGGTTTCATATAATTGCAGAAATTTAATTGATTCTTCAAAACATTTTGAAAATGCTAACAATCATTTTTTATCATAATTTTGCTTTAATTTTGAAATATGTAGCTGAAAATTTGATTTTATTAAAGATTTGCACACTTTTATCTACAAAAACAAAATTACATCTTCAGTAAAAACGCCATATTGCAATTCTTTCTTAACACTTTCAGCTCTGTGTTCTTGATCAATTTTAACTTTTCTGTCTGAGCTCCTGAGTCAAAATTAGCAAATAATTGATATGTAATGTTTCATGGCAGATATATAAATAGTTACAAGTGTTTACCAAGCATTCAACTGGTAGCTGGGCATTACATCATTTTTCTCTACCACTGGTAAAACGGTTGTTAGGTCTCAAAGAGTTAATTAATTTATTAAGCTACTTTGATGAAGAAATTGATATATAAAAGTTGCTAACATTTAAATAAATGTACAAAATTATATTGGCAACTCCCTGCTAACTGAGTAACCACACACACAGAGTTTTTTTTTCATACATGTGCAGTAAGGTCCTCTTTCATTTATTACATCAAAACTACACAAACATTTTTTAAATGTTTAAAATGGTAGGAAAAATTTCTCATTACCTACATTACATCATATGTATTAAATATTTCATCCCTGTTGAGTTCATTACATTCACTTTCATGCTAATACCCTTGAGAAAGGTATAAATCAAATTCTTCTCCCCCCAGCTAGGGATAAATAGTAGGACACACTTAGTTCTATAGCCTTGGGTGGCAACTGGTCTAAGAGAATTGAAAACTGTATGTAGCCCTGGCAAAGCACATACTATACATTTATGGCCGACTCTGTTTTTTTTTTATTAAAAATATTTGATAAAGTGTTCAGTCTACATAATATCGCAAGTGGCATCACATATTTTCTTAGTTTCCCATAAATGAGACCAATATAATATGCTAAAACACAATTTCAATTCATAACACTTTAAGCACAAAATGCTACGATCATAAAAAAAAGAAAAATAAGAATAATACATCAGTTTCGATGAATTTGAAAACATAATATATTTATTCTTGAAAATCACCAGTGACCCTTGAAAGTGTTTAAACAAAGATACATAAATGATTTTCAAACAAACTGCAATTAAACACCCAGCAGACAGTTTCCCTTAAAAATCAGACTTTAAAATTATCACTCTTTATCTGATCTAAAACATTTAGACCTTACAACCTTTTATGACTATTATTTCTAAAGATGATGTTTTTAGACCCCTGAATTTCTTGTATTATACCAAACCAGTTTTAGTTTTGAATGTTGAGAAGAAATGTCACTTCATAATTTGATGAACAATTTTTTTGTTTTGTCTTAAGTGATTATTTCAAAATTAAGTCTTCAGCATCATTTTTTATTTGACCAGGAATTTTAAACTTGAATTATGTGTCATATTGACTGATGAATTATTTTGATTAAAAACTCAGTGTCTGCAAATAAGGTGCAATTGTTTTTGGGGTTTTTTTTTTCCATTGGCATCTCAACCACTTTCAACCATATGAGAAGAAACGAAATGTCTCAAAAGGAAATCCACTTTGTCTCATTTTTTTTTTTTTACCCATCAGTCTCCATCAAAGACATGTTTAGTTTGATGTTGAGTTTCCTTTCATTTACCTGTTACTGATTCTTTTCATGTCTTCAGTTTTTCTCTCTTTATCAATAACTTGATGTTTCAAAATAAATGCAAAAATATTTCTTTGTTTTCATTTTTTCTGTTTGTTTTTCTCCTAGGAATGTCTTTCCTATTTCTTGTAGACTTTCTGACTTTCTTTTGCTTACTTCCAACAATTCTTCTCTTTCTAATATTGACACTAATATGGAATGGTTTTCACATGAATCTTGCTTTTTGTCAGTGTACCAAAATGACCCCGACCCATCGCTCCTTCCATTGAATTGTCTTCTTTGAACCTTTATCTTGACTCTTATCAACAAACTTACCTCAGATTTGTGAACAAGTCATCTTTTGTTAGGAATTGATTACTATTCAAGTGTGGAAGATAGAAAACATTTTGTTTTTATAAATATATATAATTCTTTTATTACCATATATTCTTGAGTCTAATATGACCCCCATGTTTCCAAAGCTAAAACAGAATAAATTCATCCTTGAGTTTAATACGACCCCACAGTACAGCCATCACTATCTTATTTTTTGTTTGAAAAGTTGTATCATATTATCCATTAAAATCTGAATGTTATACATATATTTTACCAAAACATTTAATTTTTCAGGCGGTATTAAAGAAATGAACTGGATGTTTAACCATTATATATTTCTTCTAATTTTCATTTCAAAACTTATTTTCGCAGAAATATGCTAACTTGATATACCCAGAAATACATTTTAACTTGTTAATTAATTTATCATACTTTTCTGTTTGATATGAATTTATTATAATTCTATATATTAAAAAACTATGAAAGTAAAAAAAAATATTGTCTTTTATTAAGAATAAAAAGGAGAAACACATATTGTTGACGTAGCAAACACCTTTTGCAAACAACTATTATCAACACCTGCTTATTT